GGAGGTGGGAGCCCTGGAGGGTTTGGAGCAGAGGAGGGACGTGGTCAGGCGGAGTGAGGATCGGCTGCTAGGCTTGACCTGAATCTCCTGAAGGACAGATTTGACGCCAACCCAGACAAGGGGCCCAGCTGATTTCTTCAGTTGTTTACTGTCTGTTTCTCCCACGTTCCTCCACATATGTAACACGCATGTACACGCACAGGAAGAGGCAGGAGCTACTCCCCCCACTTCGTTCTGAAATTGTCGGGGGTGAAGCGAGGACGCCCCGGAAGCCAGGTTTACTGCATGACCTCTTGTTCTCTGTCCCTGGCACACGGGTGGCAGCAGGCCAGGTGTTCACGGGGGCCGCCGCCCCACCCAGTGTCGCCTCACGCTCTGTCCTCCCGGCCGCCGCCATCTGTCACTTCCCGCCTCCCCGGGGCCCTCGAGATTGTCCCTCGTCCAGCGGCAGGCCCCTGACTCAGACTCATGCGCCTCTGTGGCCGCCTGCCCCTTTGTCCGGCAGGGACTCTAACAAGGGAGCCTTGTCCTCCCCGAGGACGAGGACGCCGCGCACCCGCCAGGCTCCCCTCCCGCCTCCATCCTGAAAGAGCGGCTCCCCACGTGGGACAGAGCGGGGACGGACGGGCTCCCGTGTCTGTGGCTCCCAGCTGCGTGTCCGCCGAGTCCCCATTCTGCAGATGAGGACACCGAGGCTCAGAGGAGGAAGGGCTGGCATTCGGAGGACGGGGGCTGGACGGGGGTCCCGGCAGGCTTCCCTGGACCCTGCAAAGTCCCACCGCCCAGGCCCTCTCCCCTCTCTGGTCCACCTGGCCCTCCAGCCTCCCGATTTTCTAGAACACTCTGGGCAGCTCCAGCCGCGGGGCCTTTCCCACGTGGATGCTCCTTCCCTTCGCCTCCCTCACCCCTCCGTCTGACCGAGTCTTCCTCTGACCCGACTTATTCTAAACCTGCCCGTCTCCACGCGCCAGCCCCCTCCAGCCTTTCTCGTTTTCCCACAGCTTGGTCACCAGCTAAGACCGCGCACAGCGCTGGCCGGCCGCGCGGTGGTGGCCGGAGTCCCTGAGGGCTGACTTCAGCCTGCGGGAGGTCCCTGAGCTGGGGGCGTCCTCGTGTGGCTTGAAATCAGCCGCGACGGGAGTGTCTACACCACGGGGACCAGCAGGGGCTGCACCTGGAGGGCCCGCCGTTCCGCATCTGCGGTCCGTTTCCTTCCCCGCCTCCCACCAGCTCCCTGGGGCGGGGGTCTCTGCGCCGTCACCCCGGCACCTAGGACGCTGGGCTCTCGGTCTAGCAGGCACTCAACACACATCTGCTGAACCAACGAGAGGGACCTCACCCCAGCGACCGCTCTGACCCTGACATCAGGCCCCGTGACCCCTCTCTGGCCCCACGAACGTCCCCCGACCCTCAGATGAGACGCTGAGCTCCCGAGCACCGGACCGCAGGCCGGGCCGTGAGACGCCATCCGGGCGACACGTGACCCCCGCCCCCGCGGGCCCCGACGTCGCGACCCCAGCCCGCGGGAACGCCGAGCCGCCCGGCTGTCCCAGCCGCGTTCCCGTGTGCGCTCATTCATTCGTTCATCCCTTCATTCATTCCGCACCTGCGTCCTGAGCGCCTGCGGCCCCGGGAACCGGGGACCCCGGCCCTCCCGCCGCGCCCCCAGACCCACCCACAGCCACCCGCCCCTGGGCCTCCCTGGGCCCCCAGCGAGCCGGGGCGGGGCGCGGGGCTAGACAAGCACGACGTCCCGTCAACCCCGCTCCACACGAGCGGCGGCCCCGCACGCCCGGTCCGGAGCAGCCAGCGGGACCCGCGGGGCGGCGCCATGTCGGCAGGCGAGTCGGGGGCTCCGGGCTAGAGAGGCCTGCGGCGCGCGGCCTGGTGGGAAACGCAGCCCCGGGCCGCGGTCCTTCGGCTCCCCCGGCATGCCGGGAGTTGTAGTCCGGCGGGGCGGGCGGGCGCGGGGGCTGCCGGGACTTGTGGGCGGGGCCGGTGCGCGTGCGGCTGACCAGCCCCGCCGGCGGGGAGCTGACCGCGGCTGGAGGTCCCCCAGGGCCTCGGCTGCAGGATGGGGCGCCGCACAAGGCCGAGCATGACCGGCGAGAAGAAGTAGCGGCTGGACCGCAGCGTCCGGCTGGAAAGGAGGACGGTCAGCAAGGACGGCGGTGCCGTGAGTGCCGAGCCCCGCCTGACGTGACTCTCAGCGCCGGCCGGACCCCGGACCCCAACCCCGACCCGGGCCTTCAGGACCGGCCGGACCCTGACCCCGGACCTCACCCTGACCCTGACCCTCGGCACTGATCAGACCCCAGATGCCGCACTGACCCCGACCCTCAGCGCCGGCCCACCCTGGACATCGCCCCTTCTCCTGACTGTCCTGGTCACCCACAGCCCGCCTGGACCGGCTGGTTCTCCGGTCTCCGCCTCGGCCGCTGAACCCTGGCCCCGTTCCCTACCCGGGACCCCCAGACCCAGCCTGTCCACCCAGACCCCTGCCCCGGACACCAGGCACAGTTCTGCAACCCGGCTCCCCACCTCCCTGCAGGAGCCCCCAACTCCACCTTGATAGTGGGGGGCTCTGAACTGGCCCCACCGCATCACCCCCACCCGGGTGCCAGGCCCCCATCCGGCCCCACTCCCGTCCCTGCGCCTGGAGGAAGCCCCTTGGGCAGGAAATTTCCCCGAGGGGTCTGGTCCGGCGCTGACTGCGCCCCAGCCCCGCCTCCTCCGCAGGTCCCCGATTCTCCCGGGTCCCCCAGCCCCGCCCCCTCCGCAGGTCCCCGATTCTCCCGGGTCCCCCAGCCCC